CATCAAAATTAAACGAAATAAACATTTGAAATATATGAGTTTGTATGTAATGTATGAATATAATATACAAGTTTCACTTTTTAAATGGAATTACTGAAATAAATCTACTTTTTCATGATATTCTAATTTTATGACCAGCACCTGTAGAGCTTCAGTTTTTGGTTTAAAATAGAGCATTTCTTAATTAACTCTCTGTCCCTGCAGGCTGGTAGTCAGTTTTCATACAGTCTGTTTTATGAGCATACTGTTGAGTTTTTGGACAGGCTCTGTGAGGCGGAGAGATGTGGAAAACCAACTGGCTTTGTTCGGACAATGATGTGCATTTTTAATTTTAAACTAAGGTAGCACTATTCAGTTTAGTCCGCCCACACACAGTCAGTTTTATTTTACTGCCGTGTGGTAGTAAAATAATAATAAACTAAAATAGCTCTTTTCCTGAATCACTGTTTGTGTCACAACTAACTATTCTTTGTGAGAAGGATGCTCCTCAATTCTATAAACTCTCAGTTCACACAGTTTTCACCTCTCCTGGTGGTCTTTGTGTTTCACTGCTTTGAGTGGGACAATAGGACAGTTCTTTTGTTTATAATTTAATATGAATAGATTTACTTGACAACAAAATAGGGTTAGGCAAAATCGTATTGTGTGCAATAAATCATCAAAAAAGCTAATCGATTATTTTTTGGCACTTGATGATTAATACGATTAATGACAGCAGGTGGACTGACTGGAGATTTCCCCTGTCAATAGTTTGGTGGGGTGGGGGTGAAGCTACAGGGTGGACTGATGCATCTGTCCATCTTTTGGTGCCTCTCACTGTAACGCACATCAAATATGACAAACATTGAAAAAAAAATTCTGTAAATTATTTATTATAACTCTAGTTTTACTTGGCCTATCACCAAAATTTATAAATAAATGTATAGCTTGAAGCTGACACAATTTTGGGACCGAAATAAAATTTTGAATTGGTCATGTGACTTGGACATGCAGGCATCCAAGGTATTTATTGATTAATCGTTGTCACCTAAATACCAAAATTAATCTTAATTGCGATTATTATTTTTTGCCAGTATCGCCCAACCCAACAACAAAAAGGATCAGGCAGCTCAAACCAAGCCCCGCAGAATAAAGGATACCATTTGAACATGTGGTTAACAGATGACTCGTATCATGACTTTAAAGTGTATCTTACCCCCCCCGCCCCAAGGCAAAATTTGAAAAATGCATCAAAGTGGGTAGGGGAGGGGGTGTGGGTAGGGGAGGAGGGGTTAGAGAGCGGAGGTGTGGCCAGGACGAGAGAACGTGACAGGCAGCTAGCATTAGCATAATTGATGCTACATGAAGAGTGACCACAGTATCACAGAGTTACATCTCTGAACGTCTGAGGTGGAGGATTTTCACCCCACACCAGCACCGGACAGAGGAGGTGGAGCGCTCCAACATCCTGACAAAAAAAAATAAAAGCATACAGCTGCAGCTGCTCACATGATCGCTAGTTTAAATCAGGAATAAAAGTGTTGGGTCTTGTTTGACTGAAGTTCGGTCCGGTTCGCATACATTTCAACCTCTTTGGACGTTTACCTGTATAAAGAACCCTAAAAATCCATAAATTTAGCAAAAAGTCC